GCTACCTGGCGACTTGATATTCGGTGCTACCCCAAACGACGATGTGAACCAAGATGAAGACAGCCAAAACTCTTTTAGTAAAGTCCACGATGCAGTCCGACATCGAATAAAAATGGTTAGCAACCGCATGAAGGCAAGGTACGATCGAGCGGCAAATACCGATGGGTTTCAAGAAGGGCAACTGGTACTATTGTTCAACCCACAACGAAAGAAAGGACTATGCCCCAAATTGCAAACGCACTGGGAAGGACCCTACAAGATTGTCACGAAAATAAATGACGTCGTTTATCGCATCCAGAGGAGCGACAGTCCCAGGTCGAAGATGAAAGTTGTACATTTGGAGCGGCTGACCCCCTACGGAACGGGAACTGTGCCTATTCGGGACGAACAGGCTTAAGCGGGGGGCAATGTTACGAATATAACTTTAGATTTAAGTTAATTTAGATGAATTCCGTTAATTTAAGAATTTGAATTGTAACGTAAATTTCTACTACGCAGTTTATTTGAATAACTTCACAACAACAACCACTGTATAGATTTTTCTACATCCTTCCATTTCCTCTTTCATTTTCTATTTTGTTATTGTCATACAATTCTTGTTAAACGTCATTCCTCTTTCTTTGTTATTCCCTCGCCTGTATATGTGTTGTTGTTATTGTAAGTTTGTTTACTCAAGTTTGTTGTTGTTGTTATTGTTCACTCAGTAAGTTTGTTGTTGTTATTGTTACTCAATGTGTTTGTTGCATTGGTAGATTGTTCGTGATCTAGGTGTTACCAGATCGTCTAGAAACTTCTGTAGCGACAGGCAGGGCTCATATAAATAGAGGGAATGGAAAGGCAGTGAGTCAGTTGTGAATCAGATCGCGAATTGAAACCGTCGTGTAAAGTAAAGTGCAAAGTAAAGTTGTGTGAATAAAGTCATTGTAATAATCGTAATCTGAAAGAACCCGCGTTTTATTTGGTACGAATTGTATCGGGAAATAAAACAACGTCTACACGGGATTTAGTAAAATCCAAGAACGTAACAATATATTCCCTTCTTACGTTTACAAATTTAAAGGCTTTTTCGCGGTCTTTCACTATTTACATTGTGTTTTCATTGCATCGGGGTTTTACAATAATCACACAACACCACATGTGTATACAAAGTTCAATAAGTTGTCGTTTTTAAACGATTCTATGGCTTAGGAGAAAGTCTTCAAATTACTAAAAACCTAAAATACTATGTTATTTTTGGTTATATATAATAATTATATATCATATGTACTTACTCTCTTCTTATTGTATATTTATACATTTCTGTAGCAGCGACAAAAATTCGCCTTGCACATTGTGGAACACATCATATATATTTGCAGAATGTTGCCAGCCATATAAATTGTTTTTAAACTCTCTAGGATTTTTCTGTCATTATTCCATTGCATTTCAGAAAGTAAAAAATGTTGTTCTCTTTTAATTAACAGAAAATGTTGTTACGATATCGTAACAACAGAGCAAAAGCCATATCTTTATACTTCTATGCAAGGTATATTTAATAAGGTAGCCGCATCAGCCCAGCTGTTAGACAAATAAATGTCAAAAATGTTGTTGTAATGTTGAACCAAAAAATTAAAAAAACAAAATTATAAATGAAAATCTCCGAATTTCGAAGAGCTTTTTTGACAATACTTTTATTAACATTTTCTACGAGAATTTGTCAATCTGTTTGTTTTGGCAAAATATTTTTGACATATCAAAATACAACAACCGATGTTTGTTGTAGAAATTCGCCGATGCGGCTACCTTGTATATCTACCTTGCTTCTATGTCTTTGATGGATGTGTAAATAGGGATACGTACGGCGACTTCAATCGGCTGGCCATGGCCGCATTTACACGTTTGCACCAGTGTATGTATTCTCCAAAGTAGTTTTAACGCCGGAACTAAACTAATAAATAACGTTTAGCTATTAATAAAATTAAAATTTAATTGCAAAATCGAGCTTTATTTACCTCAATTAACCAAATAAAATTAAATTCACTTTATACCTCGAATTGTTTGAAAAGCTATGCAACTAATAGCAACTCTGCTTTGCACCAAAAAATAATCATTAGTATGCTTCGAAGTACATTAAAATTCAAAATAACGTAACAAAAGAATAATTACTATAATTTAAAACAACTCACTTTTTATACATTTTCAAGTTAATGGAGAGCAATTCAAGCTGTTGTTTCTGTTTGGTGAAAGCAAAATTGCGGTGTGAACACATACATACATCAGCGCATCATACAAAGAAATGCAAATGAGATTCAAATAAGATACCTACACCGAATAGTCCGAATTGTAAATAAAAACATATAATGCCATGTACAGACGAGCGTCGTTCGCTCTCTCATTCGTTGTTCGACCCCTAATTATGAAGTAATTACTTAGTTCCCCATACAAAATTTTCTGAGCGAACACCGACTTTTGTACGTTATTAAATTCAAATCACTCTCTGAATAACCAAGAATTTGTCGAAAATAAATTAATTTTGACAGTTTGAAAATATTTATGAAATTTTCAAACTTTTCCGGTAAAATTGAAAATGATGAAAAAAGTAAAAGTATCTACATAATGCAATATGCATTCCCTTTTTTACCTTTTCCTTCCCTTTTGTTCTAATTAGCGTACAAAACGAGAAACAAATGTGGGGAAACCCAAACAAAAATTCTCCAATTTTTTATATGTCACATTTGAAATGAGAAAATATAAAAATTTATTCATAGCAACAATATTTTCGGAAAAAATGGAAAACATGAATTAAAAGTAAGTAAAAATACGATGTTCGAATGCCCGTCAGAACATGGCATAATGGTCTTCGATTTCTATGATCAATGACTCATTTTGTTCACAAAAGGGGAACACATAAGAGGATTTCAGGCATGGCATGTTATGTTGGCTCGTATGTGTTTTCCCCTTAAAGGAGAGAACAATAGTAGTACGGCATTATAGTGTATGGGAGTCATAAATTGCTATAGCCTATTTTCTATTATTTCATACTTTTCAAACAAACTAAGTCCCAATTTATATTAGGCGAGTTTAATTGCGGCAAGTCTTTGTTTGAAGGAGAGAGGGGCAAGGGGAATAGAACTTGAAAAAAATTGCTCGTACCGACAATTTTCTGGCAATTGTCAAAAAAAATATATATATTTTTTTGAAATCGAATTGCCTTGTATAGACGAATGAAGCAAGTTCAAAAGAGAACGATAAAAATTGCCGCAAGTAAACTCGCCTAATATAAATCAGGACTAACAATATACCTCTACCGTGTGACTTGTCAAGCCAGAATATATTAAAATAGTCCCGTGACAAATAATATTAATTTACACTACATTAAATTAAATTTAATGACATTGCAGATAGGGCAGCCGAAAATTCTATTAACAATGGAATCTGCTTAGAAGTACAATGACCAATGGTGGATCCCATAAATCAAATAGCTACAATCCTAAGCTACACGCATATACATGGCTCGAAACATTCTGTCACCAAATAGGACATGAACCAAGGAGTAGAGAAGGCGTTTATAACAAAAAACTAGACGAAACAAGTAGTTTTCCTCATTTGACAGATTCTTAACATTTTTCTAAAAAAACGATAAGGTTCTATTTTTTTACTTTTCTTGAATATGACGAACATTGTTATAGTTTCCTTCTATGCTTACAATTTTGCATATATTGATTTAGTTTTTGTAAGTATTGATATAACAATTTATATTTTATTTTTCTTTTGTTATATAAAAAGGCGCATATTAGTGTTACAAAATACATTTGTAAATAATTTGTATGATCTCTTAAACATTACTATTAATTATTATTACAAATGTTATTCATTTTTATTTACACGAACTTGCATAGGTGAATCCAAGACTGACGAACAAATATATAAAGTTCATTTAAAAAGGAAAAAAATAAAACTAGACATGAAATTCAATTTTCTTAGAAATATTTAACATAAACGTGACGAATGAAAGACCTATTCTACCAATTATTGTAACTTAGTCCATAAGTGAAGTAGAAAAGGAAAATGCTAATTAGAAACCATTTCTATTATAATCCTTAAGAATGCAGTTTAACTTAAAATATTACGTAAAATTATCGAGTGAGAGAACACTAAATCTATGTAGTCCAGATAAGTTTTAATTTTCGTTTAAAACAGGCAGCATCGTTGTCAACAAACCCAGCTATGTGAAAGGTAAAACTATGAATGGTTATATTCATCTTCGGTCCTCTCCACAAGCAGCAATTCTTCCAAGCGATCCAGACGTTGGCGTAATTCTTCTTTTTCCTTCTGGGCTATTTCGAATTTTCTTCTAAGTTCCTCATTCTGCTTTCTCAACTCCAATAACTGCCTACAGATTTCGGGTACAGTTAGTAGAGGTATAACTGACGGCGAAAATGACGTTGTTTTGCTGCTTTCCTGATTTACTGGAGGTTTAGTGGGATTAAGTTTGATGGTTTTGGCTGCATTAATTTGGCGCACTGGCACGGTATTCATATGTTCAACACGTTTAGCCGGTACAAGGCGCACAGCTTGTTTTGGAACTGTAGATTGTTGATGAGACGGCACCGGCACAGTCTTTACAATCGCTTGTGTTTTTTGTGCTTCATGCTCTATAATGTCGTTTTCATCTTTGCTGGATACTTGTATTATATGGGGTAGTATATCCTCTTCAAGCACAGCGATGTTGTCTTGTGGAACGGATTGTTGTCTGTTACTACCGCCATCTACACATTTCATATCCAACTTCACCTGAAATAAAAAAAATAACTTTTGAATTATCCCATCAAGGACGAACGCATGCGTAATGATCCATAGTACGATAAAATATGTCAGATGGTACGTAACATTTTAAAATAATGTTTATTTAAATGGTAAACAAGTTTTAATTCATGCAAGCATTTATTCAAGGTATTACTCCTTTACCACTACTGTGGTTGTTCGGCACTAGTTGTGAAACTTTAACAATGTTAGGATGTCTAAACAAAATAACGAACCTGCTGTTGCTTCATTTGCATTGGCTGCCTTGAATTTATAACACGTTGTTGGCTACAATTAAAAACAAAAAACGCGAGAGAATGTAGTATTCAGCATATTATACGTTAACTGTAAACATACCTCGTAACCGATTGTGGCAGCTTTTGCATAGTCTTCAGATTTGTATTTCCATACAACTTTTTAAAATCATTTATTGATATAATACGTATATTCTGCAAAAAAAAAGTGTGGGATTATTATATGTGGGTGAGTACCTAATGTCGAGAAAAAGAATGAACTCACCTTATTCTTTGTTACTTGCTGATTGTCCTTAGCCTTACTTATGACATTCGGTTTTAGCCTATTAACATTTGCATTGTTTGAGGAACTTACATAGGTTGCACTATCATTGCGTGCCCTCGCTGGAACAATATTTTTATTAGAACCATTTATATTAAAATTATTGTTATTGCTTAGGTTAGTATTATTGTTGTTTTTGATTTTCTTAGTTTCGTTTAATAATAGCTTTCCGCCCTCTGACAAAATCAATTGTCTACCATTTTGCAGGGCGATATTCAACATATCCTTCGAAGTATCATCATCCGGCATCATGGAAATACCATGAGATTTTAATAGGTTAATTGTAGAGTCTCCTATGATTCCTGTTTCTGTTTAGGGAAACCAAAATACAATAATAACAACAATGCAAAACTACAATTAGTGTTACCTTTAATATTCTCCAACTCGGCAATTTTGACAGCGGCATATTCATTTTGGGTCATGTATTCATCATTATCTTGGCTTCTAAGACCCCCTTCGCTTTCCGCGGAATTTTCCGGTGCGGTAAGACCCATTATCGAATTAACTGCCTCTGAGGTCTCTTTCTGCAAAAATAAAGTATAATTTAAAACAAAAATCTACAAGCAGGAAAGTTAGAAAATCGATGGAATTTGAAATAAATTTAGAATTTTTGAAAATGCCAAATTGAGTAATTTTACGATTCCAAAACAAATGGATGTGGGAAATATTGCATGAGTACCTACTCTATTTGTTAAAACTGCATTCTATGGTGATTTGTAGATAATTTTTTCCAGTATGTTTGTTGTTGACATAAAGCATTATTTAAAACACATTGAAAAATGTAAAAATATGAAAATATTTCAATAACAATAATATTATTAGTAACACCATAACAATGCAAAATAATACAAAATTAATATTTATATATTGCACACTAACGTATTAATTTTTTACTGAGTGACTCATTCCCAATTCTAATATGTGTTTCAATAAACTATCGACATTTTCATGTTAATGTGTTTTTTCACCGGGGTTATTTGATCAATGCTCTACACGAGTTCTTGGCAGGTTCTGGTTTTAAAAAGGTGTAACCATGGTATGATATTCATACCTTCCTATCATATTTAATTGTCTTATTCTTTCTGAGAGTGCCGGACTTCGGTCAATGAAATGTTGATTTATTGATTTAAAATACGTTTACGTTGTCCTTATATAATTTTTGACAATCTACAATAACACAAGTCATACATATAAGTATGCCCGGGGCAGTAGATATATTTAGATATTCATTGGTTCGTTAAAATGTTGCAAAAAGAAGTTGCTTCAATACATATCGCTAGCTAAAATGCAAAAAGGCGTAACTAACAAAAGCATAATTGTGTAGGAGAAGCAAAAAACTGTTTTGAATGAAAACTATAAACATGTCATGTGAAATGAAAAAGTATGCCCGGCAGGGTGATATTTCATATGACGAATAATAGACTATAATTTTTTTACAAATTTAGTTATTTAGTTTAATGACAGTCATGACAATTAAGTAACAAACGTGAATTTTTTGTTAGTTACGCCTTTTTGCATTTATCAAATAAACCCACTTGTAGTTACGTCGTTTTGTTTTTTGTTAATAGAAGCTCCTTTTTTGACCGCAGATGTGTAAAACTTTGTCAACACATGTAGTTTATTGACATTCACAATATTCATTCAAAAAGTCAATTTTCATTTTTTTTTGTTAGTTACGCCTTTTTGCATTTTAGCTGACGATATATGTTCATTGAATTCAATGTAAATGTTTATATATATCTGGTATATTATATGATTTGCACAGAAATCGCCATGCGAGTAGATCAAAGGCATTATTATTAAAGTTTTGCATGTTTTTACAGTTTATAAAGATGAATTTAACCCATTTAAACCGTTTCAATGAATTATAGGTAAAATAACGATGACAAAAGCTTACTACAAGCGACAACGTTTGTAGCCACCAAAGAATATTAAGAACCACCACTTTTTAAAGTATAGATTCATGTTTAGACAGTTTGGGGGTTTTCGCTAAAAACTACAATCTTCCTATGTTATTTTATCAATTTTGATGACAAACATACACAAAGTTGCCTAGCTTACTTCTTTAATATAACGTCTTCTTCGTCCAAGGTTTTTCCATTAGCAAGTTGCGAGGAAGTTGTAAACAACAATATGATAATTGCTTGATTTTTTTTTTTCAATTTAACAAAAAGCATACACATATCATAAAAAATACATAAAGACGCAGTACAGAAGACTTTCATAATTTTTGTTGACAAAGGTCGGACGATTTCAGATAAATTAGTAAAAGCCTATCTAAAATGACTTTTACTAAACCTTTAAGTAAATTGTATAAATTTGTATCACTGAACAATTGTATTAACGAGTATTATAGTACGTTTACATTGTACCGGATTTCGTTAAACCAGTGGGTGTCAATTCCATGTCAAATAGATCATCATAGAGTAGCATAACCCGGTAAAAAGTTCTAATGTAAACGTTTTATATATTTAATAAACCCCAAAAACAATCGCCAATATTCTATATGTTGTAAATGTATGTTCTTGGATTGCATTTACGCGGTGTTTATAAAATAAATTGTACAAAATATTATTTTTGGACATGTTCTCATTAAAACTTCAAAACTAAAATCTATTATTTTTAATAGACGAACAGTTACTGTTTGTCCATACATATGTAACTATTTTGTTTACAGTAGTTGAGGATTCTTTGGCATAGAATATCACGCTCGTACCTTTTTATACAGTCGTATATAAATAGAATAACTACTTTGCAGTGTGATTCTGTGACATTGTTTCTCGTTACCGATCATATTTAAACACAAATTTTTCATATTAAAATACCAAATTATGTTAATATTTTTAAAAATGTCGGTTGGGATTAGCGGCTAATTTAGTTTAGACGTAACTTACGAAATTATAAGCAAATGTAAATTTGCTTTTGTCGGTTATCGTTGCAAAATCGGAAGTATAGTATCGCACCCCTGTAATCTTAAGTAAGTGTAATCAACAAAATTACTTAAGTAATTACAAGCTAAACCCCCATTTAACGTAAATGATTAGCAGTGGACAAACTCACCTCATGTTGTTCATTGAATGTCCTGTTGGCTTGAGCTTGACGGGCACTTTCGAGTTCTTCCAGTAAATCGGCTTGCTCCGTTAGAACGGCGATTGCAAGCGGTGTACGACCGAACTTTGTAACCGCGGTTACATCTGCATTATGTTTCAGGAGTAAGCGTACAATTGACTTGTGTCTCTTTTCAACGGCCCAATGCAATGGAGTCATACGTAACTAAAAGAGAACACCTTGAAGTCAGTAAATTCCCAATATTACACACACATAGCTTACCATATCTTTTGGATTCACGGCACAATTTTTGGATAGTAGCAGTTCCACTATCTGTTCATTGCCATAATAACAGGCCAAATGAAGCGGAGTTCGATCCACTTTGGTTTTGGAGTCCTTGTTGATGCCACCGTTCAATAAAACTTGACAAATCTCATACTGATTATTCATCGCAGCGAAATGCAAGGCGGACATTCCCAACTACAACAAGACAACAATGTTATGTTGTATACACATATCGTACGTGTCGTGAAAAGGGGCAGGCGGATATAAAAACCTGTTGCTGGCACTCCATTTACACTTACCCAATCCGATGTGAACGGCGCACCGCGGGACAATGCATTTTTGACGCCCTTAACGTCGGAATCCCTAGCGTACTGCAACAGTTGTTTGCCCAAGTCTACGACAGTTGTTGGTACACTCAGTGTGTTGAGAGACTTATTCGATATATCTCCTTCCGTGCGCTACAATTAATTGGGCATTTTAGATGAATGCTCAGGCGTTTAGAAGTATCACTTACAATTTTGTAGTTCATTAAACTAGCCAATTGGTGTTCCAGCGTTGTGGCTCCACCTTGATTTGCGGGATAGACCACCTTACAGTCAGAACGCAAAGTAGCCACAATTTTGTTGCTGTCGCCACCACCAGTCCCAGCCCCAACCATTTTCGGCTGCTTGCGTTACACTCTTCGTGAATATGACCGGACCATGAACACCTTTCACTGCAATGGAATCCCAAGTTAACTCAAATTTCGATCAAATTCAAATAAAACAAAGGAAAAGGAAGTTAAAGTGACGATATTTCAACAAAATCCGAAGGAAACTTAATTTCTGGTTTCTGTTTTGTTTTCTTCTTTCCTTCTTTGGTTTTCTGTTCGTAAATGCAACAAATGTTGTTTCGAGTTGCCATATGAACAAAACTATTTTTAGATTTCTCACAAAAAATAAAATAAAATGCTACATGTCTGTGTCTATATTTCACCAGACTTCATAAAACTATCTCCAGTAAAGTGCTGGCACGGCCATTTCTGAAATACCAAAGCCAACCCCCTCATGACCAAAGTGACATATGGCAACGCCACGTGAAATCTCTACATATCAACAATAACTCAGCTGGCAGGCATTCGGGTCCAATTGCATTGGTATGTATAAAAGAAAATAGCGGAAATTCCGATTGGTGGTATAAAGTTGTTGATGGGGTATTCACAACATATTTGATTCTATGACGAACATTCTGGGTATTTAGCGCACTGTCTTCTGGTGGCCAGTATCTACAATCCTTATTGCGCATGATACCATACAACGTCATCCGCTCGCCAAAAAAGCAAAAGCCACCACCACATCCATATCCGTCCACGGAAAACGGAAGTCGGTATTTTATAAATTGTCTAGTTTATTTACATACCAAAATTGGAATAAATTTAAGTACAACAAAATACAACAACTGTTCTCCTTTACTTTGATAAACGATTTTTTTATTTAATTCCAATTTTTGTAACCAATAATTGGAATTTATTTATAATGATTACGAACGGCGGACAAGAAGTCAAATACAGAAATGAGACATTGAGCAGAGTTGATTAACTCTACACCAGAGATGGATGTTCTACATTATAAGTTCACAATTATCTAAATATCCATTTATTTGATTTGTTCTCAAGATATAACTGGGATTTCAGGCTTGATAAAGGAGAACGTTGTCCAAAATCTTGATATTCCTTTATAAATTGACATTTCATACAAAGCCAAATTAACAGACCAAGCATGTATCCTCGTATGTGTTTTCCCTTTAAGGCTCGAAACTAATTCAATGCGTTGCGTACAAAAATTCCTACTTTTTTCCTTTATAATGTTTATTGAACGCCTGTATTACCCAAGTACGCAAGGACCTTATTTACATATGTGTCAATTAAAAACGGCGAAAATGAGTAAAAACATTTTTTTTAATTGATCAAAAAATATTTACATTTATAGAAAAACAAGAATTTCAATGAAAAATAAATTTTTCTATTTTCCAAAATCAAAAAATCCAAAATACGGATTGTCAATGCTGAAAATGATCAACTTTATATTTTGATACGCAATGCGTTTTTTGGCAACATTCATTGAAATACATGTATTTAATGCCATGTTCTGACGGGCATTCGAACAACGTAGTTCGCTCTCAGAATTACGTACATGAATTAACCCGTTCATACAACACTATACTTAATTCATGTCATCAGAGTTTTTTATTTAAAACTTTTTGTTTCTAGTTTTACACCAAAATTGTAACATATTTGCGTGAATCTCTTTCTCCTGACTATAGTATGAACCCATATCTATTTATGTTTTCCATTTTTTCTGAAAGTATTGTTGCTTTGAGTATATTTTCATTTTTTCTCAATTTTGTTTGGGTTTCCCCACATTTGTTTCTCGTTTTGTACGCTAATTAGAACCAAAGGGAAAGAAATACATATTGCATTATGTAGATTACAAAATTTACTTCCTTCTGTATATATAAAAACTAAAACATTTTTTACTTTTCATTCATCATTTTCAATTTTACTGAAAAAGTTTGAAAATTTTATAAATATTTCATGCTGTCAAAACTAGTTTATTTTCGATAAATTCTCTCAATTGTTAGGGATGGGACAAAATTCTTCTTTATTCAGAGAGTGATTCGAATTGAACAATGTACAAAAGGCGGTGTTCGCTCAGAAAATTTTGTGTGGGGAACTAAGTAATTACTTCATAATTAAGGGTCGAACAACGAACATGGTATAATAATAGAAGGTAACAGCAAGTGTTGTTGGACAAAAAACGATACAACAACCACATGGAAATTTGTTGTTGTAAGTTCTACTAGTGTCAACTCATTTGACAGAAAAATGTAAACAAACAAACAAATTATCATCAAATTATTTTTATTTTGAAAATTAAATATTTTCGAATCCTCAAAATAAAAATTGAAAAACATGAATGAAAATCTATCAAATTTATATTTCTATCGCTTCCACATCTTTCCTATAATTGAGCCATTGCCATATATATGTGTAACACATGTGAAAATGCTGGGAATAGCGAGTTGTTCCTTGAAGAAAGATTTGCTTCCTCAAACTTTCCCAGCAGGCAGATTGAGTAAGTTGAATACGGGAGCACATTTAATAAAGAACAATTACAAATTGTATGCGTTCCCAATTTTCCTGTTGGGTGATTTTTAAAAACATAATTTGTCAAATTCATATTGACACTAGTATTACGTTGGAATCAAATCAGCTGGGACTTGCTGTTACCTTTTATAATTGTACCATGAACAACGAATGAGAGAGCGAACAACGCTCGTCTGTACATGGCATAACTTTTGAGGTGAATAAAATCGTACACATACGCATGAATTTAGGTGGCTTGTTATGCCAAAGTCGTATACAAAATGTGTGACTGTGTATTTAAAACTATATTCTAAAAACCATTTATTAAATGATGCATTTAACAACATTGGTAAGAAGAATTATATGTATATATAGAATTATATTCCCAACTATATTTTAAAAAGAAAACCTGATATTCCTTTCATTTTACGCGTTTTTGGTAAAATGTGACAAATATGTCAGTATGTCTGAGATTATAGCCCACAAGGAAGAGGTGTATTTTCTCCTTGTTGACGAAAGATACCCTAAAGGGCTAAACAGAATGTTCGCGTTTAGCGTTTTTTTGTTATCGCGTTAACGCACGCAAAAAGTTAAAATATATTTAACTCCGAAGCGCAGCGCACATCAACTTCGAGCGTTTGTGTTATCGTTTCCTTGTGGTTGTTGTATTTTCGATAACATATAACGCGACGTTATGTGTTGTCGAAAATACAACAATGTTCGCGTTAACGTGATAACAAAAAACGACCAACGCGAACATTCTGAACATTCTGCTCAAGGGCTAACGCGACGGATGGCTCAACGCGAACATTCTGTTTAGCCCTTCAGCCCTTTAAGGGCTAAGCAGAATGCTCGCGTTCAGCCATCCGTCGCGTTATATGTTATCGAAAATACAACAACCACAAGGAAACGATATGCGTTTGTGTTATCGTTTCCTTGTGGTTGTTGTATTTTCGATAACATATATCGCGACGGATGGCTGAACGCGAGCATTCTGCTTAGCCCTTTAGACTTTTCAATACAAAAAGACCATTAATCGATTAGTCGAAAGTCGATCTACTTAACCCTATATTTTATCAGCGAAAATATATTAAGTTTGTCCAATTTTTTTAGAGTTGGGCAATCTAGTTCACGTAGCGGATCGATCATTCTCGTTTCTTTTTTAAAAAGGAACTAGTTCCTTTGAACTATGTAATTACTTCATAATTAAGAGTCGAACCACGAATGAGAGAGGGAACAACGCTCGTCTGTACATGGCATTAGACTTTTCAATACAAAAAGTCGATAAATCGAAAGTCGATTTACTTATCCCTAATCATAATTTGCCTAAACCTCATTCGTAAACAACACGGTTTCCATTTAGTCTCTATCCCACCTCATTCGTAAACTTTCGGTTATACCATTTTGAGTTCATCTTTATCGGCCATTTTGTCTTCTCCTCCCATTCGTTAGCAGGTGGAACGTTTTTCAATTTTTTCAGTCGTCGTTTTTATTTTAGCTCCGTTCCAAAACCTAAAAGAATCTACTAATTTTACAAGTTTTGCAACTTTTTACTCGAAAACCGTTCCTGAACCCATAAAACTGGTAAAGCATTGAATCAAATTTAAGAGAGCACAAAACAAAATGGCTTTCTCTTTGTAAACTTTTTGTTATGTTGATTTTGAAGTATTGCCATCTAATTTTGGCATATTTACTAGATTTGCATTCCCGAACTTTTCAAATTATTTTGTACTCTGAGACTTGAAATGTTTCCCTTTTACTAGCTTTACTATTAAACAAGTGAAAAAGCGTTAAGTTCGGCCGGGCCGAACTTTGGATACCCTCCACCACAGGTATACTGACAGGTATTTGAAATGAAAAAGTGGACCGATATTTATAATTTTAAATAGAGATATTTGGTACCCAATATGAACCCACTGTACCAAATTTCAGCGAATTCGGTTGAAAATCGCGCTTAAGAACCTCAAAATACCGAAAATTTGGGGTGCCCTTATATGGGGGCTACCAGAAAAAGTGGGCCGATATTTATAATTTTTAGTAGAGATATTTGGTACGCAATATGAACCCAATGTACAAAATTGCAGCGAATTCGGTTGAAAAGCGCGCTCAAGAACCCCAAAATACCGAAATTGGGGGGTACCCTTATATGGGGGATATCCGAAAAAATTTACCTATATTTAAATTTTTTGTGGGGAGATTTGGTACCTGCTAAGAACTCAAAATACTAAATTACAGCCAATTCGGTGAAAAATACGATAAAAACCCAAAAAATACTGAAAATTAGGAGGTACCGTTAAAATACCGAAAATTGGGGGGTACCCTTATATGGGAGCTATGCCTAAACGTGGACCGATATATCCCATCTTCGAACTTGACCTGCCTGCAGACAAAAGACAACCCTATGCAAAATTTCAGCACCCTATCTCAATTCCTTCAGAAGATAGCGTGATTACAACAGACGGACGGACATGGCTAGATCGTCTTAGAATTTTACCCTGATCAAGAATATATATACTTTATAGGGTCGGAAATGAATATTTCGATGAGTTGCAAACGGAATGACAAAATTAATATACCCTCCATACTATGGTGGAGGGTATAAAAAGTACTGGAACAGACCATTTGTTGGCGAAGGTTTGCGTACGACGTCGCTTGAGTCTTGGCAGAACGACGATTAACAAGCGAATTTTATGAAGGCTGGAGTCTTGGAGGCTTCCCACTGTTCTTTTGAATCTCTCTCTCTCTCTTTTATTATTTTTTTTTTCGTTTTTCCATATATAGTTCCTTTGCTCCATATAGTTCCTTTGATCCATATAGTACCTTTGCTCCATATAATTCCTTTAGTCCATACAATTTCTTTGCTCCATATAGTTCCGACTTCTACATAGTTCTTTTGAATCTCTTTCATCATTCTTTTTTTCGTTTTTCCATATATAGTTCCTTTGCTCCATATAGTTCCTTTGCTCTTTATAGTTCCTATGCTCCAAATAGTTCCTTTGCTCCATATAGTTCCTTTGCTCTTTATAGTTCCTTTGCTCCATACAGTTCCTTTGCTTCAAATAGTTCAAAAAAGGAACTGGATCAGAGAAAGGAATTATATTAATTAAAGAACTGGAACTAGTTCCGTTCGTTCCTTTCTCGGAATAGTTCCAATGAACTAGTTCGTTCCGGAACTACCCAACAGAGACCTGCGCCGATCGGCTCACAGCCGGCTGAGCCGAGCCGCCGATAAAATTCAAAAGCCGCCGCCGAAATTTTGTTCGGCTTCAATCGGCTTAAATACAGCCGCCGTTTCATGTTCGTTATAACAAAAAATGTGAAAAAATACTGTTTTTATAATTAATATAATTATTATAATTAAAAACCAGTGGGCGGGGCAGTATAGTCGGACGGGGCCGACTATATGATACCCTACACAACTTCCTCGAAAATCTAACTTTCTGTGGTTCTATATTTTGATCTTGGGCAATATTTGCACTCTCTTGACCTCTACAGTGGGTTGTGTTCAATTGTGTCCTATAGATCGACTCGAAAAAAACACAAAAATTATGTTTTCGGTTCACTTTATCCCAATATTATTATCTGATCATCACCGAAAATTATGGGCGTTGTCCTTGACCATACCTGGATCCTCATGGAAAATTTCAAAGCGATCAGCACTATATTTCCGCCCTCTAGTGTGTTAATGGGTTACTGAATAATATCTGAGTGCGTAAGCACCTGTATATATTTACGTGTAACTCCCACATCCAAGTACATACGACAACGTAATTGATATCAATTTGAAGGCCAACCAATCCTCATGGATATGTTGTAAACTTCTTGGGTCTATGTCATTCAGGGGTAAATATATACGCTATAGAATACAAATTTTGTAATTTTCTAGTCCATTTGACCCGCTAAATATTGACCGATCTTTATCAAAACGGGCATACTTATTCTTTGGCCCGATCCCCTTCTCCATGTAAAAATTCGCGATGTTTGGGCCATAATTGCGACTTCTGGAGCGAACAGAAAACCGGACAAAAATTAAGTATTTGGTCCATTTCATCCCATTAATATTAACCGATCTTTACCAAAAACAATAGGGGTCTTCATTGGCCAGAACCCATCATACGTGCCAAATTTCGTGAAGATTGGTCCATAACTGTGGCCTGTATCGTGTTTACAAATTATAATGGACAGACGGACGGACACACATGTCTAGATCGAAACTAATTCAGAATCCTATGACGACATAGCTGTGTTTACGGAAATTGATAACGACATAAATGAGTATGAAAAAATATTGAGGAGAAAAAGTCAAATTAAAGAAAAAAGTACAATTGCTTTAACAAAAAAAAATCCTCAGGAGGATCAGTGGTTTGGGACCATTTTGGCCAATTGGTAATTGGAAACAAACCTGTTCTTACAAAGTTCCAACTTTGCAAATTTTGCTTTGAGGAGAACCCCTGCGACAAAAAGGGTGGGTAAATGTTATTTCTTGGAAATGATAAATTAATTAGGAACCGTTGTTTTAGGAGAATTACCAATTAGATTAGATTTTCAATACAATATTGTATTCTATGAAAAAATAAGTGACAACAAAGAAGATTTAATTTTCAAAAACGAAACAATTTTATGCCTTGACATCGGCTCACAGCCGGCTTTAAGCCGCCGCCGACATTTTTAACATAAGCCGCCGCCGCCGACAAATTTGCTCGGCGCAGGTCTCTGCTACCCAACTCTCCCAACTCTCAATTTTTTGCAAAGTTTTATATTAAACGAAAAGAAGTATATTGTTGCCCTAACCAATTCGATATTCAGTATGTCCAGACAAGCATCTAGATTGGATCCAAAAAAAGTGGTAAGTGAGCTATGTAGTCGAGAATGTGTTTGTCGTGAAATCCAAACTTCAACATTTGCAATTGATTTACTTCATTATCAATACCCTTCGAAATGAGGATTTCACTTTGTTGAGATTTTTAGTTCTGTCCTAAAAAAAGTAATTTAATATGTGTAGCCAGAAGAAAGACATTTTTTTATAGAACATGAGTGGCCACCCTCACTAAAAACGATATCACGATTTTACAGTAGCGTCTTTGGGTGATTCAGTAGAAATTCGGTACTTAAAAGCAAGATATGGAAATTTCCGCCTCATCATCTGCCAATCAACAACAGCCACATCAAGGAGCGACGACAGGAACAACTGTACAACAAATGTCATCAAATACTGGATTGCCAGCAAATCAAATTCAACTTATTCCCATGATGGCTGCCCCGGGTACTGGAGCGGCACAAATCATTATTGGTCAGCAGCCACAACAGAGCATTCAGCCACAATTCATCAACATAAATGGACAGTTAATGCAAATTGCTGCAGCTGTTCCAAGTTCCCAACAAACAGCTGCTGCAACACCGGCTACTAGTAACACATCGCAACCTATGCAGTTGATGCAGTTACCTGATGGACAGACATTGTTTTATCAACCCCCAATTGTGCAAGGTGAAGCTGCACCAAATGCGGTGCCACAAAGCATTCAGCCCATGTTTATAAACATCAATGGGCAGTTAATGCAAATTGCGACTACAGTTCCAAACACACAACAACAAACTGCAACTACTGGAAATGGTAGTGCACAGCAGATCATTATGATGCCACAATCGGCAGCAGCTCCTGCTACTAGAGTAGCGACACCCACACCATCGCAACCAAGCAACGGTGCTACCAATCAGACGACTCCGGCGCAGACCGACTCCAACACAACAGGGGGCGCCTCTGATGATTCACAGCCTGCCGCAAATGCTGAAGCAGAAGAGGAACCTTTGTATGTTAACGCCAAGCAGTACAAACGAATTTTAATACGTAGACAAGCAAGAGCCAAGTTAGAATCGCGCATACCCAAGGAGCGATCGAAATACTTGCATGAGTCGCGACATCGGCATGCAATGAATCGTGTACGGGGTGAGGGTGGCCGCTTCCACTCGGCTCAGGAAAAGGCTGATATGCAACAGGGTGCGGGCATGGATGGGCATCAGCATCAAACAATACCTTCAAGAGCCTCGCAGCCACGGCTACCACCGAGGGTAATCGCACCATATCAGGGGAATAACACCAATTCCTCAACATCTACCCCGAACATAACGATAACACCCATCAAGTAACATAGAGATGCGCTTTCAGAAGCGCCACCACCAAACACCCAATTGCCCGCCCCCTTTTATACATTAGATCAGGAGAGAAGAATGTTTTATACATATGTAAATAATGTTTAATGCAAGTAGCCATAAGTTTTAGATTTATAAGGATTTCAGTGGCAGAAATTAACAAGTAAAGGATGTTTTCAATAGTCCCTACTCCTCCTCATCCTCTTCGTTCTTAGAATTCGGAGTTCTTAACACTCACGTATGGTGCATTGGTTACCCAAATGCTGAGAGACATCGAAAACATAGAAGATGTGAACAAGCAACTCGAACGCATTGGCTACAATATGGGTATGCGTCTAATTGAGGATTTCCTTGCACGCACTTCGGCCACTCGGTGTTTAGAAATGAGGGAGACGGCCGACCGCATCCAGCATGCATTCCGCATTTACCTCAACGTACAGCCCACAATAACGAATTGGTCGGCGGCGTCCGATGAATTCTCATTGCAATTCGAAACAAATCCACTAACCGAATTTGTGGAGTTGCCACCAGACCTAACGAATTTGCGCTACAGTTCTATAATAAGTGGGTGTATAAGGGGAGCTTTGGAGATGGTCCAACTGGAAGTGCAATGCTGGTTTGTACAGGTATATTGTTATTGTTTTATGTGGTTTGCAGTCTTCTGTACATTTACTGTGTATTATTTGTTGCAGGACCAGTTGAAAGGCGACAGCGTCACAGAAATTCGAGTGAAATTTATAAGACGACTGGAAGATGCCATACCAGCTGGTGAAGACTAAGGACTCGTTTAGACATAATTAAGGGGAGGAAATATATATAATAATATTGTAAGCTTCATTACAAGACAAGTATCTAAATACTTGTATTGTTTCAATAAAATTGTCACCTCTAATCTTCTCCATAGTAATACTAAAGAGTTAAGTTGAGAACATTAATATTTCGGTATATTAAAGAAAGGTATTGATGTGCTGTGTACAGGATTATATATTTGTTTAGCTCCAAACATTTACATTGAAATAAAAGTTCAGTATTGGGTCGAAAGCTCAAAGTCACATACATATATAATTTGTCTATTTTTTATTTTTAGATAGGTTTATTAAAAAAACATAACAACTTTGCGATTAACATGGCTGTATATATATACTGTTAAAAAAGTTAAAAACAAATACTATATATATAAATGTCCCTTCTTAATCCATAATTTATATTTTATAAAAATAGGTAACCAATCGCCTCCAAAACATGGCTACAGACATACACATAGATATGTGCATCATCCACATAATATTATATTTTTAACATCATTTGTTTGGAGTAAGAGGGTTTTTTGGCACGTAGCTAATAAAGTTTACAATATATATTAAATAATAAAAAAACAATAGAGAAGTTAGCATGGCAAAACAAAAATGACAACATATTTTTATATGTTTTTTTAATTTTAAGTGATTCGTTCTGTGATCTCCAACAAAAATTAACTTGTTATAATTGTTAATTAGCATCATCGAGACTGTTGTGCACACACAAAATGATTGATCACAGTTCTTTTCCTTCTGGTATAAATACAAATATTTTTAGTTATTTGAATTTGACTGATTTTGCGGACAAAGTACAAGATTTAGGTTCTTCTTAGTTAAAACTTTGCGCAAAGCCCTTAATGTTTTGATGCATATAACAACACAACATCCATTGGCCACACCTTCCGAGGGATTCTTACACGTACAACTGTCGCTTTTAATCGATTTCAGGGTAGCGTCTGGAGTCGATGGATGTGCATTTGTAGAACAACAAGAACTGGTATTGGTCGTGGCTTTTGGCGGTGGCACAGAACAGCATGATGGCGCTGGTGTTGGAGTTCCGGAAGAGCAACAAGATGATGTATTTACGGTAGGTGATTTTGGACAACACTGGCTTGGCGGATTGTTAGTGGTCGTAAGTGAACAAGCTGATGTGCCCTCCCTCTTACCACCGCCGCAACAACCGTCCTTACCATCCATGGAAGCTAGATTTTGTAAAAGCAATGCAACATCCTCGATGTTCTGATTAAGATCTGATTCACGCTTATTCGACACCTTATTTGCTTTCTTATTTGTTCCGCAACATCCTTTCGATGAAGTTTTTGGCATTGGATGGTTACCTGAGGTAGCCCCTGCTGACGACTTCTTACCACACGGCTTATCCGATGAACAGCCACCTTGACAATCTTTAGTTTTGTCACATTTGCAATTAACACAACTGCAAATGCCTGCATCAGCGGTTATTTGCTTCAATGTGGGCTTATTGTTTCGCAGATCGACCTCTATTAAGCCGGAACCATCAGTGGGCACTTCGTCTGCCTTTTGTAGTGTTTCTTGCAATAAGCTGGTATTGTTGTCAATGGTCATCAGAATGTCATTCAATAAAGACTCAGTTTCCATATCTGCATCACTGCTGTAGTCGGTGGAGCCCATTAATAACTCTTCGATGTTCTCCTGAAGCGGCAATATATCAACAGAATTATTTGATGCTGCCGTAACTGATTGATTGCTGTTCAAGTGGTTTTGTGGTAATTGTTTCTGAACTTGATTGTCGTTGTTGTTAATACTGTTGTGGGAATTTGCGCCTTGATCATTGTCAATTTCCATTAGATTATTGGTGGTTGATAAGGCACTCGAATATTGCTGCGGATTAGTATTAATTGTCGACATGGCATTGGCGAAATTCGATTGTAAGTTTACGTAACTGGGGACTTCGGTGGGAATGGCCATACTCTGAACTGAGACTGGGGCCATTGGTAGAATAGGATTCGACACCAATACTCCCTGCGACCATGATGGTGTCGGTATCTCTTCTTCTGTGGCATAAGCCACTTGTAAAGCTTGACCCATTTCCGGCAATGGCATGCTTTCAATCTTCGGAGCTAGGACCGTATATTGCGAGTTTTTTATCTGCGGCACCCGTAAGGAATATAGATCATCAATTTTACATTCAACTGCTTCGGCTTTAACAGCCTTCACTGGAATCTGGAATTCACTGCCATCGAATTCGCTACTATTGTAGGTGGAATTTGTTTCATCGCCAACAGACTCTTCCTGTTTGATATCGTCAATTTCGCCTTTAGCTTCAGGTTTTCTGTTTCGATTTTTTGATTTCCTCTCTCTGGTGCAACGGTTCTGGGTTTGCTTTTGATGAGTCTTCTTGTGCGACTTTAGACTGTGCGAGGTGCTGAAGGACTTTTGGCACGTGGTTTCTTCGCAGGGGTATGGCCGCTCTCCAGTGTGGGTGCGAATGTGCGTTTTCAAATGGTGCGATGCTGTAAATGCTTTGCCACATGCATCCTCAGGACACTTGTATGGTCTCTCTTGAGTGTGGGTCCGCATATGTTTCTTTAAATCGCTTAACGTTGTAAAACATTTATGACACTGATTACAGTTAAAAGTCTCACCATTGTGCAGGCGCAGGTGAGCATGTAGTCTATGATGAAATAGAATACAAATCAATTCGTAGCCACATCTGTTTGTCAACGTCACACTTAACTCACCTGTAGCGCGTATTGAAGGCCTTCTCGCATCCCTCCACATTGCATTCGTACGGCTTAACCTTCGTATGAACTCTAATATGAATTTTCAGGCTGTACGAGGTTAAAAATGCTTTGCCACAACCATCTTCGGGGCATTTGAAACGATATTCGCCTGTAACGAAACAAAGTGTTCAATCGGATGTCCAAGTGACAAAATATCCCGAGCCACCTACCTTTGTGCGTCTTTAGATGCGTTCTCAAATTGCCGATCGTACTGTAGCTCCGGTTGCAATTCTCATAGTTACATTTGTAGCGCGACAGCGATTCATCCGAACTCTAAAGGTTTGCAATCACAAAGACAAAATGTGAACGAAATAGTATATGTTAGTGAGGAATATGCACCGAATCATGCAATTAATAAAGAAGAAAATAAGTTTATTGAAAATGCATGCAGCAGCAAAAAGAGATTGTTATGCAAGTAAGTTTCCTTTCTTTAAGAGCAAATCTAAAAAGCGAGAACATTATAGCGGTGATGACTCGTTTAAGCTTCAATAGAAATGCGTTAGACAATACCTTCGTTCATATTTTTGTTTGGAGCTTTTAGAATGGATATTATGTTTACTGGGTGGATTGTGGTGTTGTGTGTGAGTGTTAATGGCAGTCAGTCATTCGTTTTTACATTGCAATTGTTGCAGTTAAATTAGGATCCAGGCTTTTTTCTTGATTTTGCACTATAAAGCAAAATAGTGTGTGTTAAAGAGGATTATTTTTGTTTCTTACAACTAACTACTGGACAATATTTATCGTTTGTACATCCAATGTCGGTTTCACAAATTGTATCTAAGGATAGCTATAAATATACACATTACATTTTCAGGCATTCGGAAAGAGTACACTTTACAGGAATTGTAAAAAGTATTAGCAAAGACAAAGAAGTCGTTTAAAATTCACTATAGCAAAATTGACCTATTCTGTTTATTATATGCCTATCCATACTTAAACTTGAAAAAAAGTAAATAAATAATTGATAACATATCTGTTAGACTTGCCACAGGTAGGTTTGCGTATCTACTGCCTGAATCATTAGATGTCCAAAATATTTCATTGTCCAGTAGTTTTTTATTTTTATTTTAGTGTTTTAATAAACACTATTGTACATTTTAATGGCTGGTTGAGTATTCATTTTAGCTGAGCGGAATAATAAATTAGAGTACCTCGAAGGAAACAGTTGCGTAAGTTGATTCCCCTTTTTGTTTGTGTAACGCACCGGGTCGTATGCATAATGAAAGTTCATCAGGCTCATTATTTACTTCCATGTAACAACTATAAATTATTATTTATCATTAATGTTTGGATATACACTTGTTTTAATTGGTGTGTGGAGTGTAGAGAGAAGGCAGCGTATATATAGGCGCACATAAAACATGTTGGCTTTTCAACAAATTGCAAATTATGCTGCGAACAAAAATAAATAAAGTATCAATGTAGCGCCCGGCTTTGTTTTAATTTCTACTATCCTATATCAAAATATATTAGTTTTAGTTTGTTAAAAGAAAATAAGAATACGAAGAGCAAAAAAACTTTAATCGTATTTATGTACATACATGTTTGCATTAGTTATTAGAGAGCGGGTTAATTGGATTTCAACGTCTATACAACATATAGTGATCTCCTCATAATGATACATTAACATTAAGAATGTTACAATATTCCCCCGCCTACTGAAAGTTTGCCGAAAGAAAAACACGCAAGCGAACTGCCCCTAACGACGATCTAGTATATATGCGACCTTGGTTGTTGACATAGAAAATGATTCAAATCAAAATATGTTATTAATAGAAATAAATATCAATACTTTCTATAAACAAATTGGAATTCTTTTATAGACCACTAACAAAAACAAGTGCGAAACAATATTAAAGTTTTCCTCTATTCGTTTGTTTATTTGTTTGTTTTCTATTTGCAATATATGTATTGTCGATTCGAATAGAGAGCAATATAGCCATATCACTTTATGGAATTTTTGTCTTAAACTCTTCCAAATAACAATCTCAGAGTGAAGTGGCGGTCACAACATAATTACACATGGCCCTAAATCTATCGACTGATATGTTTTTAGAAATTACTAGCTCTCGGTGTCAAAAAATAGAAAATGATTTTACTAAGTATGTCCCCTTCATTAGATAACACTAAATAATAATTGGTGGTTACCATTAGTAGTTCTTCATCATCAGGTGCGCCTTCGAAATCACAGAAACACCTGTGCTTTCAATGCATTAATAAAAATAATGTATCACAAACAATTATATATATATATATATATATATATATATATATGTAAATATTATGTTTCAGAATCACAATAATGTAAGTAAAAAAACACGTGTACAATAAAGTAGTTAGTATCTATAATTATAAAAATAAAAATCGAAATCTAAAAAAATATTAAAACTGTTTGCGTGATTGGCAATAGATAAGATAATACTAACAAATTTATAACATAGCCTCTGGTGCAAAGAAAAATTCAATACAGTGGATTAAAAACAAATTTCACATATATTTGATCTTCATTTTATGTTCCTTCTATGGGAAAGGCATTTTTCCCCGACAGGTGAATAGAGGTGGCATTTCTATATATTTCACCGATTCCCTTCGTTTCTTTATAATTTTCAACAAATTAATTAAAAATTTATAGAAGAATACTTGCCAAATTACAAAAAAAAAATTAAATTTTTTCTTTAGAAAATTAAATTGAATTACGAGCGCATGTTGAACAAAATTTTCAATTAAAAACAAAAATTCAACAATGCTAACGCCCCCAAACAGCTTGGGAATGCATACGTAGAATAGTATACTAATGTTTTTATTTTAGTGCTAGGTTGGCGGCTACAGCAAAGTCAATGACGACTGTGGGTGAGCACTCTATGTACCAGGAGGTGTATATAGCAACGACATACATATACGATTTATAGGACAATCCAACCAGAATGTTATGTTTTTGATATTCTCTATCTAAACTAGGACATGTAACCAAAAATGATAATAGCTACGAAAATCAATTTAAAACAAAACAGAATCGGTATATGCAGTTTTTTTCATGTTACGCGTTAGCTTGTTTTTATTTTCTGTTTTTGTTAGAAACATCCATGTATTCGATAAATTCACATGATGGCGTATGTGTTGGGTTTTCTTTTAAACAAACCATTCTTTTAATTTTATTTGATTTCTATTTTTAGATTTGTGACTTTTCAAATCATAATTTCTTTCTCGGCAAAATCTTAAATGTGTGGTACTTTTTTCTTTTTTTCTGTGGAATAAATTATTTATGTTTGTTGCGTGGGTCCTCCTCGGCGGAATGGTTCTCCTATCAAAATGTTCAATTTTTATTTGATCATTTGAGTATATATACATTTAAGCGGACAGTGGATGCAAACAAATAGCAGACTCTTAAAAATGTTGACATCTTGCGATAGAATAGTCACTACTATACTATCAAATACTCATTTGTCAAACCAGTAGCAGTTAGTTTTATAGCTGTTGCTTGTTTGGGATGATAATGTATCTTTAGAAATGGTTCTTTCATTGAAAATTTAGCCAAATTCGTCCCACAAACTGACATTTTACAAATTATACAAAACTAAGGGACAAATGCACTTTACGAACACCTATCAGAATATTTTGAAATTTTCACCACATATACTGATTAAAACAACGTCTTTCGGGGGAAATCAGTACTTCCCGTTCCGAAAATACAACAGTAACTAAAGGTAAATATTCTCTGAGAGGTGTCCGTAAGTTCATTTACGCCAAAATTCATGTATGCAGCAAATTCAAATCGGAATTCATAACAACTAGTACCACAAGGACAACGTGTGATAAACATTTCAAAATTATACGTGAATTTACAGTCCAAAATGTATTTAGATTAAAAAAGTAGCCGTTCCAAAAAAAAAAAAAAAATAAATAAATAAATAAAAATGTTCGTCAAAGACATAGAAAGCGTCTTTGTTTTCGTACTAATTAGTGATCTAAAATCGAAAATAATTTTCACATAAAAAGCCATGCATAATTTCTAAAATTGAAAATAATCCAAATATGTGTCAATTCAAGGCAAATAAATACGATAAGCTGACTAACATAATCAACATTGCAGCGTACAAAATATCGACTGGCTACCTTTGATTTGAAACGCTTCTAGGTGATACTGGCATAGGTGTTGATAATTCGTATGCGAATGACGTTGATGCACCGATTTTATCCTTGTGGTCACATGGCGATGCCATTTTATATGGACTCGTCATTGGGGCCGGTTGAACCTGTATCAACTTCTCATTGTCAAATGTATACTCAAATTTGAAACAAATGCTGTTATTTGCGTTTGTCGAGTTCGTTTGCACGTAACCCGATAATGGTGGCATATCGTCGCTATTGTAAACCGATGAAGTTGGGGTTCTCGCTTCAGCATTGGAGGAAATGCCGCCAATGTCCATGTAGTTAAAGTCCGTATCAGTTGATGACATGGTTGTTAATAATGACGATGAAGTGAAATTTGAACCAATGATTTTAGAAGATGATGCGGATGCAGGAATATATGATTGACCGGATGAGCCAGATGGATTGTGAAAAGTCGTGTCTGTCGAAGAATTCAAAAAGTTTAGTACAAAATCATCGTCAATATATAAATTTGTGTCATTTGAGTGCATACTCAGTAGCTTGCTTGTGAACCCATTGGGGCTATTGTTTCCCACTGCCAGAGCAGGGGAAATGGTTTCTGTGCTGCAGTGGTTGTTACGATTATAATTGATATCAATTAAGTTATCATCGTATATATTAAAACCTAATTGTTGGAGCACCTGTCGTTGCTGCTGCTGTCGCTGTTGTTCCTCAATAAACTCAGCTGACCCATCGTAGTCAACATAACCGCCAGCGCTGCTGCTGCCGCCATCGCTGGGCACTTGCAGTTGTGGTTGTGCTGGATTAACTATTGACGAGGATGACGAAGACAAGTTTGATAAGGAAGAAAGATTCAAGCTACTGCTGTACGCCGAATCGTCACACTCGCTATTTTCTTTAGAATTTGTGAGCAGGGAAACGTTCTGTTCGCTGAATATGTCACCACTTAAAGTTTCCATGGCGAGATCACAGTTTTCTTTCACTTGTTTTTCCCAAGTTATATATTTTACGCCTTGCTTCTTTGAACGGTATGGAAAATTTCTACGATCCGATACGATACGGTTTATCAAACGAATCCGAACGGTTGTGTTGGTGTGTGTGTGAGATTATTATGTGCTCAATTTTTCATTTCTTTTTTCTTCTTTCTTTTCACTATTTCGCAACATAAACAAGTGTTTAATCACTTTTTCTTTTAATTTCACGTTTTTATTATTTTCACATTCTTTAATTTTTCAACAATTTCCACACAAAGCAGTCGCGCGATGCCACAGCATATATTTTGCACCGATCTATTTAGAATAAAGAATGAAAGAATGATAAAGTCTTTTCGTTTCGGAACGAACAAGGCATGGCCTATAAATAAGGTCACCAAGGGAGACCAGCTGATTATCGATACCTCTCAAGTTTGCTGTCAAAATGCATTATTGTGAATTGACTTCCATTATGAAAACGTAAACAAAGTCGAAATTTTTGACATTAGACTTGAGAAAAAGCAGCTGTTTTCCGATTTCGATTGCTATCTTGGTGACCTTATTTATAGGCCATGGAACAAGGGATACGTAAGCCGACTTTCAACGTCGCCCTCGATTAATCGAATTTTTATATTGAAACATGAGTCAATTATAAGGTCCTCAGATAAGATTGTTTGATAGTGTGGCTTTCATGTTTGTCATTCATCAGGAAACCACAAACATATTCATGGTTGTTGGACAGTCAGTAATCGATAAACAAGGCTATCACTCAAAAGTGCTAGTGTGTACACCGCCTAATATACAAAGCATGGTATAATTATTACAAGGTAGAGCACAGCTACCAACTGATTTCAATTTTTTCTCAAGGTGTCTTGTTCCATCAAATCAATATACATAATTTGTGTATGTGTGTGTAATGTTTTGAATAGTATGTCAAATAAATTCAAAATAAATTGAAATATATTCAAATTTAATTGAAATGAAAATGTCTGGAAGTTATTATGTTATGAATGAAACAAATATTTTATATTTACTTGATTTTGGAAAGAAATCATAAACTTTCAATAAATGAAATAAAAAATCTGTCAGAACATATTTTTTCTTTTGATGAAAATAAAAACAGAATATTCAGGAAATAGGGTAAGTGCTCCAATAGTCGGCACATTAAGGATTTTCGCATTTTAAACGTTTCATCATCCCGAGAGCATTTTTTCACTATATTGTATTTAGGTTCATTAGGTTCCAAATTTTGTTTACTCCCTGATGCAATAAAAATTTGTTTAATTAATTTATATTAAAGTTGTGTGAATTGATAATTAGGCAAAATAGTGCCTTTGTGCCAATAGTCGGCATGTCGTATTATTAAACAAAACAAATTATTTAATTAATTTTGCTTCTATTTTCATTAATAAATTATTATTACCCTATGAAATTTCGAATGGGAATTTTTGGGTAATTTTGTTTCGCGGTTTTTATTATTCGCTTGAAGAAATGGATTCGACGCATTTGGGTAATACGGCCGTACCCGGTAAATCTTATTTATTCGGCAAATCGGTAAATCTTATTGATTCTTAAATATTAATTATATAAATTTATAATAAATTATTTTTATTATCTTTTAAATTTTTTGTCCGTTACAGAATTCGGAGAAAAATCTCTACAAAAATTGTTAGCTGGGTATACAAAATCAAATTTTATTTTATTATGATGTAAGGTGAATAATTTGTGAATATATATGAAAGATAATAAATAAAAGCATCAATTTCTCGTTTTATATCTCAGAGCTGGTCCCCATATTTCTGGCAAGTGGGCTTCATGAATTTTGCCGCCATCTAATACCCATATAGTACCATTCGCTGCACTTTCCAAAACTTTCACCAGATTTTCAGCAAATTCAGCGGGAGTTTGATCAATCACAGAATCAAAAAGATTGTTATCCTTTGAAAGGTATTTTGCCGAAAGGCACTTTGTAACAACATCCTTTAGCATTGTTGTTAATGTTACACCGGGGCAAATTGTAACAAAACTAACACCAGTTTTATCGAAATACAAAGGTTTCTAAAATATATAATTATAGATGAAACATTTTTTCAAAGGTATGTGTATTTTTACATCTTACTGCCATTGTATTGGTGAAATTAATAACTCCACTCTTTGTTGCTCCATAGAGCCCACAAAAATCTGTAGGATTTAAACCGGTTATTGAACCAATATTTATAATGTAACCACCTTGGCCACCGTTGGCCTTACTCATGTAGTCCATGGCTGTTAGAGAACTATGCATGAGACCTCCCTATGAAGTGACATACAATAATTCTTAGAAGTGACATTAACTCCGAATGAATTGACATACCAAATTAATTTGCACTAATTGGTCGATGTTTCCTTCATTAGCAACCCCCGATCCATTCACAACGACATCAAATGTACCAATTAGTTCCTTAGCCCTCTTATAAGCGGCTTTGATGGTCTCACTTTTAGCTAAATCCAGTTGAATGTAATCCACAAAGGAGTTTGTGTAAGTATTTTTTTAATAGTTTAGGTATTCATTGTTCGACTGAAAGTCGAAAATTAGAAGGCTTTTTAATGATTTTTTCAAAAAAGCCTCAACACACTTTTGGCCTATGCCTCCAAATCCACCAACGTAGATAATATTCTTTCCCCTCAAATCCATTTCGAAGTAGTTGTGATTTCGGACTGCTTCTTGGACCGTCTACTTTGAATGACTTTCTGAAAATGAAGAGCAGACCAATTCCCGAATTTCTTAAATATATTTGTACTGATAATAAATATGTACATCAAAGAAACATGTTATCGCCCCTTTTTTCTAGATTTGATTTAATAAGTTCAAGTCATGCTTTCGCGGGGGTTATTAAGCTGTTACGATTCCATTGTACGTTGAGAAATTTGCCACTAAGAAAGTGTAGTGGTTTTGTTTTTGTCAAACATGAAAAGTGTCGTAATGTGGCGAAATGTACGTTTTCATCAATGTGAGAAAAGCAAAATATTGTCGTTTGCTGTGTTCTGGAATGTTCATCACAATCCTCTTGACTGCAATTTGTTCCCAATAGGGCTGGGTATGTTTTGGTTAATATGATTGAGTATTAAATATGAATACAACTTCGATTACAAGAACAATTTATTAATTCTCAATGTTTTATAGAATGAAAAAAGACAAATTCAGGATGGCCCTTTTTGCATCCTGTATATATCATTGATGCAACTGGATTGTATTATTGTTTTGTTAGCAATCGTGTCTGTAATTAGTTTATTGTGGCATTTTTCTTATCTTGCATTATTGTATTCTTATAAATTTTTGTTTTGCTTTTCAACAATTTGTTCCTAAAAATAAAGACATTTTTTTCCATATAACATGGTGATAAGATCTGCGTACGTTTCCAGTAATATTTACTCAGTACGTATAATAATATAGCGTACAAGGTGTATTTATATAAGGAGTAAGTAACAATCAGTCTTTTTTTTATTTCTTTGTAAAATAAATTGTCAGAATATGTTAGAGCCTTCCCTTCAAATACTATTTTCAATGACTTATTCTTAATTCGTCCCAAAACGTACCAGAAAAAAAAGGAAGATGAATTTTAAATAGTTTTATTTTACTGCTTAATATTGAGATTAATTTTCACTCATTTACAATTTATTTTTTATAACAATGATGTTGTTTTTGTAAAAGGCAAATTCGTTCAAAAGTACAACACTGCACCAACATTGTTAACAAATGTTTAATATTAAAATATTGGAAAATTTACGTGCCTGGAATAATACGGACAAAACGGAATCCTCAAATTTAGGAGTAGGAAAGAATGGACTTGTTCATCAAAACGAAATTCTGCCCGTAGCCGAAACCAATTATTGTTATTAAAAACACGCAACAAAAATATTTGCAAATAAACTATTCTAAACTAAGGTATTCTCAAATAACTGAAGGCATTCTCACAGAAGTGCTGAAGGTATTCTCATAGACGAACTGAAATAACTGAAGGTCTTCTTCTCCTGTGTATTTGTTTATTGTCCGGTCGATAATAATTTAAAATTTTGTACCATATGTATTCCTAGAGCACTGAATACAACGAAATATTTTTTGCGGATGTCAATACTTCCAGTACTATGTGTACCTAAAGTTCCATTGGGACCTTGTGTTTTCATGGTCTTCAACTTAAAGCAACGATACTCATAATTTTAATAGGGTGGGATCCAGATTACGTCAATATAAACACAACCGCCTACAAATGAAAAAGGAAAATATATTGGCCCCAAGGGAACTTTGGATGCTAATATCAGATACCACGGATTCCGACAGAAAAACATATATCGATGAAATTAGGGTCCTTTGCTCTACTTATTGTGAATTGTGAATCGACAATGTTTATTCATAAGGCTAACAGGCAGGCGAATTCATGATTTAGTCGTCTCTTGCTGTCAACATTTGATTCGCGAAATACCAACCAGAACAGGATAAAAACTCAAAATATTTTTCAAGAAAACGTAATGATAGTAATGTGCACATAGGTATATTTTGGTTCGAATAAAACAATTTTTGTTTATTTATACACCAAACAATAAATTTGACAGCTCGAATTCGCCTCCCAGGTAACCTTTTGAACAAGGTAGATATATAAGGTAGCCGCATCGGCGTATTGGGAACATGATATGTCAAAACTTTCAATTTCAATTTATTTCAAAACAAGAACCTAGCCCAAAGGGCCATGAGCGATACCAAAAAACTTCTTTACATGTCTACTCCAAAAGCTTAAAATTAACAGTATATCACTTAATTATATCATAACCAACAATACATGAACTACTCCAAAGGCTTAAAATTAATTAACGATTAATTATTAATCAATTCATAAATTCAAATTAAAACATATAAAAAACGGCAAACAAAGCGAATTTAAATTAATTCGCTTTGACATATCAATTTTGAAGCAAATTGTTTTCTACCAATCAGAACACAGAATTTTGAAGTATCAAAAACTATTATTTTACTTTTAATTTTTTTTTTTTTTTTGAAATTCTTCAAATTTGAGTAAATTATAATTTTATGAATGAAAATCGTCATAAAAATTAACATCAGCATTTGTAAATGCAATAAAATGGCGGTGGAGTAATTTCAATATGTGGTCCAGGCTGAAAATTTGTTTATAACGCCACGAAATGTTAGCCCTATACCCACCCTTTCGTATAACGGATTGATAAATATCTCTACTAGCTGAATCAATCAGTCATGTGTGCCAGTTCATCATACTTCTGTTCGCAGTTATGAACCAATTCATATAATGTTAAATTTGAAGCGGACCTGGTCAACCAATAAGCATGAAGGTTTTAATAATGGACAGTAAACAGGATATGTTAGATTTTGTGTGAATAATAACCCAAACTTAATTTTATGACGTATATATTTACTCGGGGAAGACATAGTTCGGATAAATTGGCAACATATGAAAGAAGATATTTTTCCTCTAAAATCATATCTATGTATTTGGTCCGATATGGTTTATATGTTTGCTTATTCCAAATGCTTGAATCTTGTTGTGGTTGTTAGATAATCAAATATCAGATAATTGTCGCTGGATTTTTGCACAATCAGGGTTAAGCTCCATAGAAAATTTAAGACCAGTGGATCGTCCGAATACACCGCTTTTCCCACAAGTTGGTAAATATTTCATAAAATTGATGTCAAAACAATATTATTAATTTTTTGTTTGAAATTTGTATATTCCTACGGCGAATCCAAAATTTTATTTGACATATAATGTTATCATCAGCTGCCTCGATACGTGTTCCTTATTAATATATCTCGAGGTAGATGTATTAGGTAGTCGCATCGACACAGTTGATTGTAACATTGAATATAAAAACAAATTGTTGTAATTTTTAATTCGCCTTAAAAATTAATTAATTTTTGTAAATAAAATTGAAGTTTCGTGATTTTTTCCAATTTTACTTCGAAAGAACAAAAAAATCTAAAAATGAACAGGAATTTTATATGAGGGCTACATCAAAACTGGAAATATTTTCGTGAAAGGTGTTTTAATTTACAAGAAATGATTCAACCAATCAGAACAAAACGTTTGTATACCCTACACATCTATGTTAAAAGTATGGATAAAATGAACAAGAAATGACAAATGGAATATACACTATATGGAGGGAGTAAACATTTGAAAATTGACACTATATGGAACATCTCCACATGAACATGAACTATGAACATGAACTATATAATATATGGTATATGAACTAAGGATTTGTGACATATTTGAACTTTATGCGCCTCATAGCGATCGACCCGATATTGGAGTGTGTATAAATACCACCTCTGTGTACATACATTAATATAATTGCAGTCTTTAATCTATATCTTTGAGAACATACAATTCAAATTTAGCGATTTTTCAAATAAAATATATTTGACGCCCTAAATATTGAACGATTATTATGAAAACACTTATATTAATTCGTAAGCCAGATCCCCATCTTCGTAATTTCCTGGGTTTGGGTCATAATTGCGGCCTCTAAACATAAACCGGACACTACCAAAACCAATAGAAGTAGACTTATGTCAGAACCGTATATACATACAAAATTTCCAGAATTCATCAATGGAAATTATTGAAAGATGCCGACACATACTGAACTGCTTATTCAAAATAGTGCTAATGTTGTGTTTTCAGAAGATATTTTTTCAATCACCATTTGATTTGGATCATGATAATCAGATTACAAATTATAATCTTATGACAGACGGACATATGATAAACGATATACAAAAATTTGAGTCTACGAATAGTGCAGCTACAAACTATTGAGGCAACACATAGTTTTAACATAGATGTGTAGGGTATTAAAACATTTTGTTCTGATTGGTTGAACCAAATTTGCCTAAATTTTGAAATGTCAAGGCGAATTGAATTTTATTTGCCTTGTTTACAAATTTTGACATATTATGTTCCCAAAAAAGTTGCTTTGTTGTAGTAATTCGCCGATGCGACTACCTAATATATGTGCCTTGATCAAGGGGAAAATGTTTTAGATTAGACACCTAAAAAATTGTTCAGCACTATCCAAGGTTTGTTAATAAGTTTAACCGGCAGGCGAATTAATGCCTTAGTCTTGATATGACCCATGGTACAATTCTTCAAGGTAGGCCTACCTAACGGATTTTGAGAAGAAATCATAACCTTTTATTCATTTTTCGCGTTTATAGTTTTGTGTTGAAAAAATGTCAAATATATACAAACACTTCTTGCGTATATTTATTTTATTTTTGGCAGAAGAAGCCACACGTGCATAGTTGATTTATTGTTATTCACCTCATGCTTCCCTACCTTGTATTATTGTACCATGGGCCATAGCACCTTGTAAATTACAAGTTTTTCTTACTGTGCAAGGTAGATGCACAAATATACAAAATATACCTTGTTACCAAGGTAGATATACAAGGTAGCCGCATCGGCGAATTTCTACAACAAACATCGGTTGTTGTATTTTGATATGTCAAAAATATCTTGCCAAAACAAACAGATTGACAAGACTTTTTTACACAAATTCTTGTAGAAAATATTAATAAAAGTATTGCCAAAAAGGCTCTTCGAAATTCATAATTTTGTTTTTTAATTTTTTGGTTCAACATTACAACCTTTTTGACATTTATTTGTCCAACAGCTGGGCCGATGCGGCTACCTTATTAAATATACCTTGCCCTTGATAATCCCTAAAAGTAAACGAACACACCTTTCGTCGTTTCACCTCTATTGAGTAGAAAGACAGTGTTGATTTTTTCCATGTTATCATTCCACCTTCAAATATCAGCGAAAAAGAAGAACTTTGTTACTTCTGAATTAATAACCTTTTATTTGACAATTGGCGATTTTGTGCTCTGTCATCTCATTCTGTACATTATTTCCAATTTTTCTTTCGATTAGAAGGGGAACCAACTGCATTAGTAATTGAACTATAATAATATAAACTAAAATGAGTGTTCGTGTAATTAATGACGATGCACATTTCCATTCCGAGCTTGCGGCGGCTGGTATTAAACTGATTGTTGTGGACTTCACTGCAAGTTGGTAAGGAAATGTCAATGGCCCAATTGTATCCATCGGTGATTCCGGGTGTAAAACATAATAGAACAGTAATAGTGAATAGTATGATTTGTACTTGTTAGGTAGCAAAACAAACATAAGCTTATGGTTATTCATTAAGAAAATATACACATACTTTGGACTAATTATACATATTTGCAAATTGGCCATTGCAGGTGCGGTCCTTGTCAGCGTATTGCCCCACACTTTGAAATGCTACCTAATAAGTATCCGAAAGCAATCTTCCTTAAAGTGGATGTTGACAAATGCCCGGAAACTGCGGCAGCTCAGGGCGTAAGTGCGATGCCCACTTTTATATTCTATAGAAATAGGGTAAGTACACAAAAAACAAAAATGAAGTCTGTTAGTAAGACGGGTATCATTTGTAGACAAAAATCGATAGAATTCAAGGAGCCGACATTAATGCATTGGAGCAGAAGATTCAAGAACATATAGGTTCAGGCGGAGATGAAACAGGAGAGGACTATGGACAAGGTTTGGTAAGTGTTTAAATCCATTATGAAGTTGTACCATTTTCATAATTTTCTGTACCTTCAGATGGAAATAAACACATTTATTTCAAAACAAGAATGTGAATGTCTAAATGAGGCTGATGACCATCCAATGGGCCATTGTTTAGCTGCCAATGGTGGATATCTGCAGTCAGATTGTGACGAACAGCTAATCTTGTCTGTAACATTCAATCAAGTGGTGAAAATACACTCGTTAAAATTTAAAGCACCTCCTCAACTAGGTCCCAAGGAAATAAAAATATTCATAAATCAACCCCGTACAATAGATTTTGACCAGGCCGAATCGATGACAAGTGTTCAGGATTTAACGTAAGTTGGTACTTCGACGAACATTATTGGGTTTGGCAATAACAATTCTTTCGTGTTTCAGCTTGGACCCCAAAGACTTGGAGAAGGGCACCCCTGTCAATCTGCGCTTTGTAAAGTTCCAAAATGTACAGAATATCCAAATATTTGTTAAAAACAATCAATCAGGCGGCGAAGTTACTCAATTGGATTACCTGGGATTTATTGGATCCCCCATTCTGACTACTAAAATGAACGATTTTAAGCGAGTGACTGGCAAGAAGGGCGAGAGTCATTAGAGGATACAGATTTATTTTATTAGATTTTCTTATTTTGTAAAAACAATAAATGAAAACATGAGCATATTAACAATACAAGAATACACAAAAATATATATTTTAGCCCAATGTTGTCTTTTCTTCAATATTCAATGTTACAGGTACCCGTCGCTGTATATACTTTCAATATTTAAATGCAAAGACTTGCTCCGATTTTAAAATGAATCAAGGTGGCAATCATTGCTGGAGGAGGTCTCCGAGAATGTCTATAAATTGCTGGCTTTTGTTGTTGTGTGTTCTAAGTCATCCAACAATATTTTCCAAGCCTTTTCGGCTTGTTTTAAAGTAAATTGTGGGTCCCACTGAGAACTAAACACTACATGTGAACGGGAAACAATTTCACTATTTTGCGCTTGACTGGCCAATCGTCGCTTTGCTTCTTCTTCCGATAGACCATTACGTTCTACCACACGACGCACTGCCTCCTCGGGTGGAATGATCATTGACCATACCTCATGTACCTCTTTATCCCAGCCGGCTTTAAGTAAAACAGCTGCCTCCAAGATCACTACTCTGGGACAATCTGGCTCTTGTCTCAACTGACTTATTCTACGATTAACTTCAATCATTAACTCAGGCCATACTATATTATTCAATTTCTCTAGTTTTCCAGCATCAGCAAAAACAATCGATCCCAGTTTAGCACGGTTTATACGTTTGTCCTCACTCAAGATGTCTGTTCCAAATTCCTCAACTATTTTTTTGTAGCACACTTGACCTGGTTCATAAATTTCATGGGCTACTTTATCACAGTCCATTACCAATGCGCCCATACCATGCAACCGTTGAGCCATTTTACTTTTACCCGATGCTATACCTCCCGTTAAGCCAATTAAGTACGGTGAAGGAGGCAGCAATGGTTTTGGCTAAGAATAAAAAAATGTACAGGAATTTAATTATACAAAATTGAAATGGTATTAATACCCAAGCTATTTACCTCTGGCTTCCTAAGTCTCGTTCCCAGTAGATCAATACGGGTGTTGCTGGAGCTTACTTTGCTTTCCTTGGGCCCACTTTTATCAGTTGATTCTACCAGATCTATGCAAAATATGTCCAACTTATTTAATCCATTTTGTTGTCTCAATTCGTTGACCTTTTCGCCTCCTCTTAGTGTTTCCTCGCTAACGACAATCATATCCATATTCGGATCACTTTTTGTGGGACCGAAGGGATCATCTATCGGTACCACCTCGTAACTCAATGTTGGATCGATTTCAGTCAGGAACTTTTGTACTTCTTCAATGCGCTGATCCACGGGCAGAATTAACTCGTGTAGAGTTTTACCTGGCGACATAAAACAAATAAATTACACAAACTATATACCTATGTATATGGTGGCAAGTACCTTTAGTTAATTTTGATGTTGTAACCCCAACAACCAATCTGGATGTTGCCCGTATAACAGCTTGACTAAGAAATATTTTATGTCCAAGATGGATACGATCGAACGTGCCACCCAATACAACATTTTTATATGATCGAATTTTCTCGGCTGGTTCCAGTTGTTGAAATTCCTCCACATCATTTATCTTCTCGTCGGACAGATAAATGATGGGCTGTTGCACATTCAATTGCTGACGTAACTGTTCACATATTTCATGTTGGCCATCCGAAAAGATATAGTCTACAGGCTTCAATTGCAGTTTGTCAAAAGTGCCATGGCCTTTCAGAGTGCCCACTAAAATATTGAAATCCTTTTTATGAAAGTACTCGTTGCTGTCCACATACAACTGCGATATTAAACGCCCATACGAAGGCACCGGCACTTTAGCTATAGGGACGTTAAGGTGCACGTACAATGATTTCAGATACACGTACTTTTGTAGGGCCCTCAACGATTGCCCAAAGCCCCTTACATGAGATACAACTAATATCCCGGTGGACGTCATCCTCAGGTGTCGGTCAAATCACAAAGTCCAACAGCTGACATCTAGTTTATACGTCGTAATCGAACTACAGTTGACTCTCCATTAATGGAATAGGACAAATTGACGAAATTGTTTCAAAATGTTCAAATATAAGGTTCGTTCCCGTACTTTTTGATAGTAAAGCTAGTAAAAGAGCGAACTATCAAGTGGAGTTTCCGACGACTCCAAGCCCTGAAAGGCTTACATGGCTGGACGCTCCCATAATGTTAATGCTATTGAAATTGGTAGATATTTTGCGAACTAGAACAACAAGATATGGAACAAGTCAAGTTTAGGGGCTCCATTCGGATCATTTTGAAATGATTACCGTAAGTAGCCCTCCTTGTGCGGATTACAGTGATATACATTTCATGTGGGAAAATGCATACTTCCCAAGATGTTGGCCTTGAAATTTCGGAACATATTTTGTTTAAAACAACCCTTTTTGTATTGCCACCAAGGCAATATGGGTATCATTAAAAGGTTATACCGGGTATTTTTTAAGAGAACTTAAGAATAACACTTTCATATATGGACAGGCTCATACTTGGCTACGCAATATATTCATCTAGTTATATAACACAAACCATAACCTTTAAAACGATACGGCTAATTAATTGGTAAAAATGTCAAAGCGATCCAAGTGGAGCCCCTAAACTTGTCTTAAGCCCAAGATATTTTGGATAATTTGGGAAGATTGACCGACCCAAGTCTTCATTCTATAGTATCTTCATCTGAATCTTCTGCCAGCCATTCATCTTCATTCAAAAGAGAATAAAGGGCTAAGCAGAATGCTCGCGTCGAGCCATCCGTCGCGTTATATGTTATCAAAAATACAACAACCACAAGGAAACGATAAAGGGCTAAGCAGAAAGCTCGCGTTGCGCGTTATCTTACGTCGTAATATAGCGCGCTATTCACCAAACATATGATTGTAAAATGTCAAATCATATGTGTCAATTATGAAATAATCTGTGTAACGCGGTTGTTTAATTGAAAATCAGTGAAAAAAATAATGAATTATTTCAAGATACGTTTTTATTTTAATGTTGTTTATGAATTGTATGAAGCTGTGAAGTGCCTACAAAGTATAAATACAAGAAGATTTTGGGTAAGGCCTCTTTACGAAAAAAGGGATGAAGATGGTTTTTTTTGCCGTTGACTTTGAAAGACTCTACCATACAGACGTGGAGCAATTCCAGATTTTGGTTAGAATGACTCCCGCAGTATTTGATACTAAGTCATCTCATAGAGCTCCTATTTCTGCAAAGATTGTTTTTAACGCTCATGTAAGTAGTTATTAACACATCTTATGTTATATTTTTATCTTATACATATTTTTAGATTTCTAGCTCATGGAGATAGTATACAATACTTATCTGTAACTTTTAAGATGGGAGCTTCTACCGTAAGAAGTATAATTAGAGAAACATGCGCAAAAATTTGGGAACAACTCAGCCCTTGTTATCTGCCAGTTCCATTGACAGCAAATTGGAAAACGGAAAACAATTTAAAATAAAAAAAATAAAACTACAAAAAACTTAGTTTTGTATTAATTCAAACATTTCAAACATTTTTAATTTCAGGTATTAATATTATACATATAAAGTATTATTCAATATTTCAAAAAATCTTATTTGTAATTCGAGAATCAATTGTGTAATTCACGACATTTCAGTTGAAAGTGAAGAATTTTATTTGAATTTTTCGAAAAAAAGACTTTATGGAAAATCACAAAGAAATTTGTAATACTATAAAATTTGAAGTTCAAATGGAATTCTATAAAATACAAATAAAATTCTTGATTTTCAACAGAAATGTCGTGAATTGCAAAATGAATTATTGAATTACAAAACATTCAATTTATAATTCGAGAATTCTTTTGTATTTCACGAAATTCCATTTGTAATTCAAAGAATTTCATTTGAAATTCATAAAATTCCAATTTGAAATTCAACGAATTCAATATCCAAATTCGTAACAAATATGAAATTGAATTATTTGATTTTCAAATTGGAATATTATGAATTTCAAATGAAATTCTTTGAATTACAAATGGAAATTCTTGAAATACAAAAATAATTCTCGAATTTTACAACAATTACAACTGAAATGTTTTAAACAACATTCAAAAAAGAAAAATACAACGAAATAGACAATGTTAAACATTCATAAATATTCAGGTAAGGTTCAGGTAGTAGATACATAAAGGTACAAATTCATTCAATGAGTTTTTATATACATAACAACATATAATTAATTAAAAATCCACTCCTTTACAAATTATTGATTCTGTGGCCACAAGATTTATAATGTCAATTTCTATTAATCTTCGAGTTTTGTCATCAAACGTTTTGAGCAAAGAATCAATATATTTATGAAATCCATTATTTGTTAAATCCTCTTCATTATTCCCCTTTACTAGACTGTTGATGTTTCCCACGACTTCACAAAATTTATCGTGGACTTCATCCATTTTCCGTTTTCTTTTTTTTTTGTAGGTTCCTTTATATCTCCTTCCATATTTGGCTGAGACAATTCATCATATGATGTTTCAAAAGCATCGCTCAAATATTCGCATTCTTCTATTTCCAAGGAGTCGAAATTGCTTGTTGTTCTAAAAAAAAAAAATTATAAACAGACGATTTTGTTGAATACATTGTATATAGAAAATTTAAATATAAAAATTTGATAAAAAAAAATATTAAGAATTTTATTTACACCTTTTTCAAATCTTATTCAAAACATTTCAATTCGAGAATTTCATTGTAATTCGAAAACACAATTTACAATTCATAACATTTCAGTTGTAATTCGAGAATGTAATTGGTAATTCACAACTATTCATTTGTAAATCAAAAAATTCCATTTGAAATTTAAAAAAATTAATTTGTAATTGTTATATATCCATTTAATATTTCTAGAGTTTCATTTGAAATTCAAAGCAATCTGTTTAAAATTCAAAGAATTCGATTTGAAATTTATAATATTTCATTTATAATTCATAATATTTCAGTTGAAATTCATAACAATTCATTTCAAATTTATACATATTCTTTGCGTGTTACCAATAATATTTTTCGAATTTAAAATCAAATGTTATGATTTACAAATGAAATCTTATGTATTTCAAATCAAATGTTAAGAATTCCAAATGTAATTGTAAGAATTTCAAATGGAATTTGATTAATTTCGAATGAAATTTTATGGATTTCAAATCCAATCTTTGGATTTTCAAATTGAAGTTTATGAATTTCAAATGGAATTCTATGAATTTCAAATGGAATTCTATGAATTTCGACATGTATTCTATGAATTACAAATTAATTTCTCGAATTACAACTGATATGTTATGAATTGCAAATGAAATTCTCGAATTGCAAATTGTATGTCGTGAATTACAAATGGAATTCTCGAATTACGTATGTTTTGAATAACATCTAAAAAAGGTTAGATTATAAATTATATTTAAAGTTACTTTGTGCCATTTTTTTTATTTTCACATGTACTGTCTTCCTAATTTATTTTATTTAACATTTTAATTTTTATTGTAAAGCATATTTAAATTAATTTTAATTCATAAAACTATTTATGGGCAGTGTAACTTAATTTTTCATTACTAAAATTTAAAGAATTATTAAATAAAAATTCTCTAAAAGCAATTCGTTAAACATTATATTTTGTATATAGATAATTAAAAAAATATTATTTTTCTTAAAGCCATGACAAATTCGAAATCACGCATTACTCATAGTTTGGCCAATCCTGCAACAAATTTTAATAATACCTTAAATAACAATGCCAATAATAACAACAACGAACATTGAGATTTTATCGCAATCCAAATCAATCACAACAGATTTTAAGTGAAATATAACTGCGAAATTTTGCAAAAAATTGTAGTATTTAGTGTAAATGTACAAATTGTGATTGGTACTTTCTTTTTATCTTGTTTTATTTTATATTATTTTATATTCCCCTTTTTCTTACTTCTTTTGTACAAATAAATGGTTACAAACAACCCTTATAATCAATCATGGTATAATAATAGACGGTAACATCAAGCGTTGTTGTACAAAAAACGATACAACAACCACATGGAAATTTGTTGTTGTAAGTTCTACTAGTGTCAACTCATTTGACAGAAAAATGTAAACAAATTATCATCAAATTATTTTTATTTTGAAAATGAAATATTTTCGAATCCTCAAACTCTTCAATCACTATTCCAAAAAATCGAATTTTGTCCCAAAAATTGCATTTTGAGTCGTAAATTCAGTTGTTTTTTATTCCGTCACAATTCTATTATTTTTGTACACAAAATTATTTACTGAAAACTTTCAAAATAAATATTATTCACCAGATTGATAGGGTTTCATTTTCAAAATCAAAACTATTTTGATTTTCTTCATGCATTGTGTGTGTTACACATACATAAATAAACTTTCAAAAAATAACACATACTATGATAAATGCTGTACGGCATGATGTATAGTGTATGGGGCCCTTAACTATAAATTTTAAAAAATTAATAATGAAAGAGGGGAAAATATATAATTACTTACCTGGTTTATCCACAGCCTTGGCCACATCATCCCACGCCCTTTCCTTCATAATTTTATTACGATATGATTTAATACTTTTGTCGTAAATACAAGGGTGTTGCTGCACGCAATTTATTAGTTTTTCTTCAAACATTTTGTTCTTTTTTAATCTTTTATTTCAGAGGTAATTTTTTGTTGTTGCTCGAATAACAATAGAATGCAATTGCCGCCATTTTTTTTGTACATTGAAATGTCAACATACAAATGTCAAAATGAAACGCGCTCCATGACGCCGAAAGTTAAAAAATTTTATCTTTGACGCGAGTCAGTGCGCGTTATTGAGTGCAGCCAAAAGGAGTTTCACATAGTTTAACTTTTGATGCGTTAACGCGTGACATGAAACAACGCGCAACGTGAGCATTCTGCTTAGCCCTTTGA